ACTAGCTGCCTTCCCTCTAGTCTTACACTGCTAAATTAGGGACGGCTAGCGCAGATAGCCCTCGTGTAGCTTTGCGTGAAATTCCAAAACAAACAAACAAACAAACCATACACGTGTGTATGCAAGTGACATGATTTAAATTGTTCGTGAATTCTATGACGGCGAGAGTAAGGCTTTGTGCGTGGAATTTCTTGAAATGAGTGTTATGCCTCAATATGTTGTTAGTTCAATTTGTGAAGTGTTTTTTGTTTTCTTACTTTAAGAAAACGTAACATGTTTTGCAGTAAAATTAACTTTCCGTATTTTTAGTATTAATATTTTTGAGATCTTCATTTGTTTGTTTAAAAGTATCTTTTTTTTTTAAGTGAGGTGTTCCCTGGAGCCACATCACCCTTAACCTTAACTGGAGAATTACGAGCATTGGCGACTTCTTTCTTGGTAAGGTCAAATTTTATTTGAGTAGTACTATTGCAGCGGGCTGTTATCGTGAGACAATTACCGAGGTATAAATAGTAGTTATCGGGAATATTCAGACATTGGCAATGTCACACAGATCTTTAAATTGAAGACACTTACGTGAGAATAAGAAACACAGAAACTCAAAATGATGAAATACAATGTAACATTTATTAGCATCATTATATTTTCAAATGTTAATTGACTTTTTATTTGTTTGTTGTTAAGCCCAAACTACACAATGGGTTATTGGTGCTGTGCCCATAACGGGTATCGAAATCCGATTTTTAGTATTACAAAGGTTATTTGAAAGAACAGTTTATAGTTTTTGAGGTTATTTAAGAATTAAATGGTTATACATTTCCAAAAACTTACCATATTATTAAACTTTTTTTTTTTACACATTTAAAGTTTTAACAAAACTACAACTTACTGAGAAATGAAGACTTGTCCCCTGATCTAATAGTGTGGACTTGCTGGGATAACTTGGTTGGTGTGCTAGGCTGTCTAATTTTTGGGATAACTGCCGTCTCTTCTGGAGGCTAACTGCCTTACTATATTTTTTTTTATAGATTGTAGTTGTTATTGAGAATGTGGGCCTTGAATTAGATAGAACTGGTTAGCTAATCACAAGTGTTTTTTAATCAGGGCTGACATACTTTCTATAGGATCTAGGAATCTTCCTCACAAGAGCTGTATCACTTGTAGACCATTTTCCTTGATTGGCATCAAGAACAACACGTAGGTTGAATGTTACCCTAAAATATATTGGGTTACATTTGACATTGTTGTTGTATTTGTTAGAACGTAGTGTTAAATTTCTCAGTCTAACCAGCTTTGGGCAAGCTGTTTAATCATTTTAAAATATTAAGTATTTTGAGTTTTAATCACGTCGTGTGACAGCCTTCCTTAGAATGTGTAGGTATTAGCTGCCTATAGAGAGTTTGTTCTAAGAAAATAATCAAAGACTAAATCATATAAAATATCAAAAGATTATTCTTTGGAGAGCAGAGACCGATGTTATACTTTATAAAACATTTTTTATTTCCATCCTCAGCTATACTTTCACCAATGCCAGGGATCGTGGCACCCCTTTCTGTCTCTATTTCCTAAGGAAATTATCGTTTCGAACAACCGGACTATATTTATTATAGAAGAGGTAAGAAAGGTTGCCTGTGCAGTAAAATATGAATTAATATCTTTAGGAAATCCAACGAGACGTGCATTATGCTTATTTACTGGAAACCTTGTAGCTAAGAAACACATTTTAGCTTCTAAGTATGTTGAACAACATCATCACCAAAACGTATCACTGTACTTCCCAGACCCTTTCTTTTACGTATAAAACTTATGTGCTTTCTGTGTGTAACCACATCCACTCATACGTTATTATAAAAACGTATGTAAATATCTTAAAATCAAAACATGTTTTGTGTGTGTGTTATACTGTAAACACTTCACCAGAGGCTCACGCAGACACTAAACTGTTAAGATCTAACACAATATATATATATATATATATATATAATAATAATAAACTATGAAACTGTACTGTGTCTCTTATACCAACGAACGTTTTCGAACTTCTAGGCCTCTGGTCGTCAGAAAATTGTCA